ACCCTGATCCAACAGTGAATTACAAATCTACCATATCGCAAAGGCTCAGAGCTGCATCCTAGTGAAGACACCCTACTGAAAGCAATGGATCACCATTTTCACACTGTGGTCAGAAAACCCCCCCCCCCGATTAAAACTGTTTTTAAAAAGACTGGAAGACTGGACTTTTTGTTGAAAGGAGACTGAATGTATGATTTGTGGATTAGAAAGGGTTAAGAAAGGAGGAGAAAAAGTAAGATTGCAATTACTGGAGAGAAAGAAGGGCAGAAGTCAAAATTCTGTGTTTTCTTTCTTTTTTTCACTTTTCTTTCCTTTTATTCCTTATCCCTTTTCTTTTTCTTACCTGTATTTTTCTTTTCCTTTTCTACATTTTTATTGTATTGCAAAATTCTAATTAAAAACATTAAAAACAAACAAACAAAACACTGTTATCAGAAAACGACATGGCTGGGTCAAGTCATCTGAAGCTGGGATAGATAGAACAGAGTCTATCTGTGGTTCTTTTAGTATAATGTACATCAAAAGTGTTTGGTTTTGCTCTGGACCTGAATACATAGTTTTACACTTCATTCCTATATGCGTTTCCAGAGAGAGAAATCCCACCGTGTTCAAGAAAGTGTTCCTGCATTTTCGGGGATTGGCTGATGTAGGACACGTATGGAATTGCGCCATGGCATTTCTGAAACGTTTAATACTAATTACACAGACTTGGTTAAGGGGTGCAAAAGAGCCATCATTTGTAAAAAGCAGCAGAGAGAAAGATGCCAATCCATCTGCTCACTACAGAATTGCCTCGCTCTTCTACTGTCGATTTTCACAGTTGTCCTTTTCAGATTTAGCACACTTATCGGAGCGATGCAGCCGAAGATTTTGGCTGCTGTCGCGTTCTGAACTCTTCAGAGTTTTGGTCCAGGCCAACAGCAAAACTGCCCATGGGAAACTGACCTAGGCTATGGGAAATATTAGTTTAAAAAGGGTGATGGGGGAGTGGGAGATGAAGAGAGTGACTTTATGGCCTCAACTTCCCGAACAATCACTCTGTATGAGGTTGTGTCAAAGGAAAAAAACATGAACTTGCATTCATCTAACTGCTTTTGCAAGTAGCTTCCAGCCTGCAGCTAAGCTTGGATTCTGCAAATCTCTCTTTTCCTTCACAGAACAATGGTTAAAACAATCCCAACAGCAAATTCTAGTGCAATGGGCAATGCAAAATCACTGCAGGAAGTGATGTTCCCTCCCCCAGCTTCTTATTTTGAATTCTCTTTTTAAATCTCAGCCAACAGATTCCAGATCAGGAAATCAAAGGTTGTGAAAGTCAGCTTTTGAATTGGCTATTTTGTACTACCAGCAGCTTCCGTATAGTGAAGGACACAGACTGGCATCAGTTGCTAAGTCTAGAAAAGATAACATAAGAGGGCCTGGAATGTACCCTAACATTACCCAGGAAATGTGAAGACACATATATGGGTGTATAATTTTGGAACAGTGAAGGCTTGATTTTTTTCTATAAACAATTTTCTGGGGTGCCTTGAAGTCACTGTTGACTCCTGGTGACTTTCTGGCCGTGTCTCTGCAGTTTCCTTGGCAAGGTTTTTGGAAGTGGTTTGCCTTTGAGGCTGAGAGCGACTGGCCCAGGGCCACCCAGCTGGCTTCATCCTACAGCAGGACTAGAACTCACAGTCTTCCAGTTTCTAGCCTGGTGCCTTTCACCTCTAGACCAAACGGGCTCTCATATGCAATTTATAATGAATAATTCCCTAAGGATGTGGCATCTTTCTATACTTTCTTGATCCCTATCTTTTCTAGAGCTGGATCTGGCATATTTTTTATGCCTGAAAAGCAGAAACATCAAACAAAACCAGATTAACTCTCCAATAAAAAGCTTTCCTTGTGCATTTTCTCTCTCCCCAACTCATCCCACGTGGATGACCTATTTGCAAAGTCTTGGGCATTGGAAAAGAAAAGCAGCCCTAGTGCTTTGCTGGAATGAGCACAAAGCAAAATGATAAAATATTCTGGATCCTGTGCAAGAGCCATAAATGCACTTTAACCTTAGGCAAGTTCATTCAAAAGCAAATCCCCTTTATTTAAACAGGAGTAGCTTCTACTTGCTAGCTTAGGATTTCCAAGAGACAAAAGTTACTCTACTTGCATTGGTTAGCTGCCTTACTTTTTCCTCAAGGAGTCTGTGAAACAGGAAAATTGTCTAGCCATCAAACAATCAGGTCCTTAAAATGTAGCATTTCAAATCATTTTGATTCCTTCCAGCTACATGTCTATACCACGTTCTTAGGATTAGCAGAGTAGGTTATATCAAAGACATGGTTAAGTCTTTTTTAGTGACATGCAGAGTGTTTCTATATCACAAAGCTGACTTTTCTTCTTTATAGTAACATGTCTGAGAAAAGAAGATAATTTTCTATTAAAATTCAAGGTTTTATGATCACACCGTCAAGTGTTGTTTTACTGCTAGGCTGGCAAAATCTTGGACATCGCAATGCTTAATTGCAATTGGGACACTACTGAATTCCCAGAGATCAGGGGTTCCATAATTCATGAAAGGCACAAGTGGCAATTTATTGATCTGATGCTGATCTCATACAGAAATCCAAAGGCGAGGAGCTAAGGAGAGTTCAAGCTGAGTACAGAAATTGTGAGTACAGATGCCTTGAGTGTATTTAGTAGCGGAATGGTGCTAACCACCTTTGACAGCAAAGAAAGAAAAACAATGCATGAAAAAAATGCCTCAAATATTAAATATCCCTTTGCTATACTGTACTGAACTATTTAAAAATCCAAACTATTGCTCAGTGGTTAAATTCTTAAGCGATCACCCTTTCATAGTGAAATAGCACTATGGCTATAATTCTGGCCACCAAACAGACATGTAAACAAACCTTCTTCAACATGGATCATTCTTAAAATGGTTTATAATCTGGGTTGATATATTATGCTGTCATGGTTTGCTTAATCATAGTTTGTTGACCACAGTCAGCTGGGTTTACACCACAGACTAAACCATAAACCAGTGATTTCGTGTCCAAACCCAAACCAGCTGACAGGGTATCAATCTTTAATTTCACTATGCTTTGAGTTCTAAGTGGGGATCAGAGAATGGGTCAACTGTTTTTCACAAAATCATCTTTTTTAAGGTGACTGATTTGAGGAAAAAGAGTATTTAGACCTTGGTCTATTTTCATGCAATCTTTTGGCAAATTTCAAAAGCCCTCAATAGTAAATTCAGACTCTGGTCAAAACAATGACTTCTTTTTGCCTGCTATGTTAGGAGGACAGAAGAAGAAAAGTGGGTGCTAGAAGGAGGGGTTCAAAGAAACAATAAGACCACCCTTACTTTTGGCTTTGGCCCACCATTTGCTGAATTGGGCCTCACCTACCATTAAGTTACAATGTGGGACTGATATATTGCTACTTTGATTACAAACAAAACTCCTTGCCTGCTAGTGATAAAAATCTTAACACTGACAGTGGGACAAAGTTCCAACTTCTACAAGAAACATGGTGCTCTTTTCATGTTCCAAGAAGACTGCAAAGCAACTCTGCAATTTTGGCTCAGACTTGCAAGAATATCTGGTTTGTATGTTGTGGATTAACAAAGCTGAAGGGGAAAAAATACCCCCACCTTACATTTTAGGACTGAGATCGAGACTATGAGGAACAAGTTTAGCCTGCCATAGTTCAAGCAGCCCAGCTGGGCATGCCCATGAACAAAACCTCCCCTTGACTGAGCCAAGGCATGAACTACAAGCATTTTGTGGTTGTTCAATTACTTCCTTCCACCTCATTCTGATAGGGTAGCTCTGGCCTGCATTCTCACTCGATCGATCGTAAAAGAGGTTTCTTCAGATGAGCACTTCCAAGATTGCACATTCCTTCAGCTGAAACTCACACACACCCTGCAAAGGAAACTAACCTATGACACAGAAGAGTTTTCCAGCCATCTTCCTCACCTGATAATTTTCTGTTTATAACTTTTTTTGGCATTAAATCATGCAAGCTCTCACTCATGCCTAAAGCATTCTAGTTTGGTGTAAACAGGCCTGGTTTAGTTCCAAGCTTATTTCCCCCTTTTTCTGATTGCTTTAGCAAGGCAGGACAGAATAGCAGGAAGTTCTCTAGATACGGAAAACACACACCTCAATGGCACCTGCTCAACCTACCTTGTCAGTTTGTTGTCCCTTCTATGCAGTGCCATAGTAAACGGCATGAATCATGGGGGAGGCTGGAAAAAGGGCCTGAAATCCTCCCTGTGGGGAGCAGAAGATGCAAAGTCCAACCTTTTCCCAAGGGCGGACAATGGAACGTGCAGGCTGAGTTCACACGCTGCATCGGTCCATCACATGTACAATGCGATGTACAAGCCTAGACATGACGTCTGCCCATAAACCAGAGTTTATGGCTTGATGCGTCAGGCAAAAGCAGGAATCACCCCAAAAGCCTTCGTGAGCCAGAGTTTACCAACCCAGGTTAAGCCGCAAAGCAGCCAACCGCCTTTGGTCTTTGGCGAGACCGACCCAGCGGAGATGCTCTACAGCCCCTCATTTACTGCTCAGCCAGTTCGGGCGGGGGTCCGAACCGCCTTTCCAAGCAATAAACCACAATCGCGGAGGGCAGGAGTCGAGTCCGCCTCCGCCACCCCCTTCTCTGCGAGCCAGCCCGGCGAGCGCAAACAGAGAAGAAGCGGGGAAGAGAAGTCGAGGAAGGGCAGCGCCAACGACTTCCCGAAGGACGCCACGAAAACTCCGCGCACCTGTCGCCCTCCCATTCACCCGCCTGCGCCCACCTCCCCTGCAGGACCGTGGTGGCAGGGCGGAGGAGAAGGAACGGACGCCCCTCTATTGCTCCCGCAAGGGCACGAACGGGCAACCGGCCGCGGGCCAGCGAAAGGAGGAGACCCAGGATGGCGCACGCAGCGCTCCGACCCCCCCGGG